CATCGACCAGTTGCAAAGGTGACAGGTAATAAGATCAACGGAAATAAGGGTACGCGGGCCGCCGCGAAGCTTGGCAAATTTAATGTTTGAAAGAGAAATAATGTCAATGGATTTTATATCGTTTTAAACCCTGGTGCGGTCGGCAAAAAACCTCTTAGCTAAATCCTCCCCGCGGGTGCCGACTGGGCAATGGGCATCGTTGCTGTCACCGCGATGGCTTAGCACCTAGGCTAGTACCTAGAGCGGGTCTTGGCGGTGGGAGCAGGCGGCGTCTAGCGAAGGCAGGAATACGTATCCATCCTTCTCTTCCTAGTGCTTTGCTCTGCATATGAAACTGGGGGAGGGGGGTGTATGCCTACTTCTGCCATTGCTAACGAGGTACCTAGCGGTAGGTATAAAACGCTAGGGGTAGAGGTTCCCTGACATAAAAACTCATCATGGAGGCCAGAAAGGAAGAAGAGCGGGCTGGGATATCAGCCCAAACGTCGGTGGGAGAAGTGGCTACTACCACCGGCGGGCACAGCGAGTCTACTTGCTGTGTCGCCAGCGGCCACACCTCCGCTGTGAAGGGAGCGGTTCACAGCGGTTGTAGTGTTACCGCCAAAGCGACGCTATAGCGCAGGGGTGCCACAGTCCACGAAGACTCGGACCTCGAAAGCGGTGAGAGCGTTTGCACACAAGAAGAGGAGGCCTTGCTACGCTCTCCGGGGGATGCCAAAGGTGCTTGTTCGGCATCAAAGAAAAGGCCTAGGGCAAAACCCAGTAAGGAGGGGTTGAAGGCTAAAGCCATATACAAGGCGGCGGTCAAAGTCCACGAGAGACTTAGCTGCAAGTCCAACTGGACGAAGGAAGAGGAGGAAAGGTTGGCTTGGGCTAAGGAGAAAATGGAGGAAGGCCGGGCGTACTACGCGACAAGGCCACGATTCACTGCCACGGATCCGGGATTCGCAAACCGGATAGAGGAAGGAATCGCGGCTAAAAGGCAGCGGTCAGCTGAAAGCGAGACAGCAAGGCCAGCCAAAAAATCGAGGCGCAGAGACGACGCTGCAAAGCCAAACGTCAGGCTCGATCTAGAGAGACCGACTACATCGAGAGCGGCGGCAATGGCCAGTGAGATAGCCAGAAGACACCTTATCGTGGCACTCATAGACCGGAGCAATCCGCTGGGACAAATCTCTCAGGAGCGCTGGGGAGCAGTAGAGCATAAGCTGCTGGATGCGCTCGTCGCAAAAATGGATGGGGACCCCACCACGACCATGCCAACTTTCGATGGTGCGGGGTGGCTAAATGGGGTGAAAATAATAAGATGCAAGGACGATCCCTCTCTACTATGGGTAAAGGAAGCTGTTGCGACGCTTCAAGGCCTGTGGGAGGCCGCCGTCTTGGAGGTTGTGGACCGCAGCTGCATACCATCCATACCGAAAGCGAAGGTGCTCATACCCCGCACGGTAAAACCGGAGAATGCGCTGCGGCTTCTGCAGAGACAGAACCCAGACGTGCCGACGGGAGATTGGAGGGTGTTAAAGGTCACCAACTCCTGTAAGGAGGATGGCAGCCAAAATTACATCCTCCAAATCAACAAGCCGGCCGAAGACATACTATACGCTAGGTTCGGGAAGATGGCGTGGGGCATAGGTAGCGTATACCTTCGCCTGAAGAAGCGAAGCCTGGCCGATAACAATGCTAACACGCTGGAGGAGCGAGAGGTCGAGAAGGATCTGGGAGAGATCCTGGAGGCCACCTTGAAGCTCCAGGAGACCGAGAAGGGCGATCCGGAGATTCTACCCGACCCCGAAAAGAATCCTGATCCTTGCAGTGAAGGTTCTTCAAATAAATCTGCATAAAAGCAAGGTCGCTTCTGCCGAGCTCCTCCTCAATTTAGAGAGGATCGGCTACGATGCGGCGTTAGTCCAGGAGCCATGGATAGCGTCGGGAAACGTGGTAGCTGGACTAAAGTCGCAAACTTACTATACGCACATCCCGAGTGCAACAAACAGGGTAAGAACAGCTATACTGGTAAAGAAAAGTATACACTCTTATATTGATCTTAATTTCTCTTCAGATGATCTGACGGTGGTAGCTGTGAAGGATGGCAAGGATGACACAATACTCCTTGCATCTTGTTACATGCCTCACGACGAGGAGGCGCCACCAAACGAGCTCCGGAGGTTGGTGGGAGAGGCCGAGAAGGCGAAACGCCCACTCATCATAGGCGCGGATGCCAATGCGCACAACACAGTATGGGGGAGTGGAGATACCAACGAAAGGGGTGAGTCTTTACTAAACTTTATATTAATAAGTAATTTAGATATAGCTAACCGGGGTGAGGAACCAACTTATATTGGCCCTACCTCGAAGAACGTCCTTGACATAACACTCCACACTAGTGGGGGAATCGGAGTACAGAATTGGGAGGTGCTTAGTACACCCTCGTTCTCTGACCATAGGTATGTAGGATTTCAGGTAAAATTCTCTGCCCGTACAAAAAGCGAAACCTTCAGAAATCACAGGAATACAAACTGGGATTTGTATGAAAGGGTAGTGAGGAAGAATTTAACCAAGTATAGGGTAAGTGACTCCCACTCTGAATTGGAGGAACTGGTAGTCTCACTTACCAACACTCTAAATAAAGCTTATCACATCGCATGCCCTCCGCTACATGCCAAGCGAGGTTCAAAGCCACCTTGGTGGAACAGGGGGCTCGGAGCACTCAGGAAAAATGTTAGGGAACTCTTCAAACTGGCCAAGGTAGCCGATGACGAGTTCTGCTGGATGGAATACAAGGAAGTACTTAAGGAATACAAGAAAGAGATTCGTAAATGCAAGCGGGAGTCGTGGAAGAGCTTCTACGGCAAATTAGAAAAAACAACCGAGGTAGCCAGGCTAAGGAAATTGCTATCCAAGAACCCGACTAATCCAAGGTTACTACGTAAAAAATGTGGAGAGTGGACTGGAAGCAGTGAGGACTCACTGGAAGACCTAGTCAACACACACTTTCCGGGGTGTACAGACAGCATAGATCTGCAACTTCTAGGAGATAGCGTGGAAAATGTCCCCCCGGACATCATAACGGAAGAAAAAATACGGTGGGCAATCGATGGCTTCGGGCCGTTTAAGTCCCCAGGCACAGACAGTATCTTTCCAGCCATGATGCAAAAAAATTTCCGCAGTGCTGACACCATACTTGAAAACAATATACGAGGGATGTTTAAGACTAAACTATGTGCCTGTCCTTTGGAGAGAGGCGAGGGTCGTATTCATACCGAAGGCGGGCAAGGGAAATCCCCTCTATTCGAAAGAATACAGACCAATTAGTCTAACTTCATTCCTTCTAAAGACGCTCGAAAAGATTCTGGACGCCTACATTAGGGATAAGCTGCCGTCGGCCAGCATATCAAAGGCGCACCATGCCTACACGAAGGGTAGATCCACTGAGACTGCACTTCACTCACTAACCGCGGTAATAGAAAAAGCTCTGGAGCATAAAGAATATGCCCTAGGGGTCTTTCTGGACATAAGTGGGGCATTTAATAATGTCTCCTATGAGGCAATAATGGAAAGCCTAGAAGCAGCCCAGGAAGAGTCTGCCATCCTACTATGGATAAAAAGCCTGCTGAGCTGCAGGAAAATTAAGGCGGAGTGGAACGAAGCCAGGTTGCTCAGATTAGCGCATAGAGGAACTCCTCAGGGTGGTGTTCTGTCACCACTCCTGTGGCTACTCGTAGCGAATGAGCTTCTGGGAAAATTCGAAGGGAAAGCACCCAGACTAATTGCCTATGCGGACGACATAGCTATAGTTGTTACGGGGAAATTCCTAGACACCATCAGTAACGTAATGGAAAGCGCTCTAAGGGTCGTACATCGATGGGCGACAACAGTCAACTTAGAGGTAAATGCTGACAAAACGGATGCGGTACTGTTCACAAGAAGGTACAAAATCCCCGCGTGGAAACCCCCGAGGCTCAACGGGGCGGAGCTATCAATCAAGGATCACACCAAGTACCTGGGAGTAATTTTGGACAGCAAACTGATGTGGAAGCTAAATGTGGAGGAAAGGGTGAAAAAGGCCAGTGGTGCCCTTTACGCATGTAAAAAGATGCTGGGTACCACATGGGGCCTATCCCCTGGCCTCATGCATTGGTGTTACACAGCGGTAGTTAAGCCCATATTGCTCTACGGTGCTCTGGTATGGTGGACCGCTGCAAACAAAATTTCGTATAGAAAACCATTGGAGCGATTACAGCGGCTCGCTGCACTGTGCATAACAGGAGCGCTAAGGACCACTCCAACGGCGGCACTTGAAAGGCTACTTGGCCTACCACCAATCGACATCGCGGTGGAGAGCACTGCAGCGAAATCCGCCACGAGATTGATGGCCTTAGGTGAATTCTCCGCAAGAACCTTCGGGCACAGCTCGATATGCAGGGGGATGGAGGACAAAATAGACCACATACCCCCACGCTTCATCTGGGGAAGAAGGTTTAAAGCTACGTTTAAGGAGGGCGGATGGCGCATGAGCACGCGACCCGCCGGCGTAACGTATAACATCTACACGGATGGATCAAAAATGGCTGATGGAGTGGGCGCCGGAGTCTATTGCGCCGAGCTAGACCTCAGGCAACCCTTCAAACTTCCAGAGTACTGCAGTATTTTCCAGGCGGAAGTCTTCGCTCTAGGGAAAGCTGCTGAGATAGCTAGCAACGCAGGAAATTATATAAAAAATATCAATATATATGTTGATAGCAAGGCGGCGATTAAGGCCATAATCTCACATCGTATTGCGTCAGAAAATGTCCTTAGAAGCAGGGAAGCAGTAGACAGGGCGGCCGAGAGTAAACGGCTGCATATATACTGGGTTCCAGGCCACAAGGGCATTTTAGGCAACGAAATAGCTGATGAGATTGCCAAAAGTGCCATCCGTCTTGCTAGCGAACCAGTACGGGAAATACGAAAGTCGCTAAAAACGATCTACAATTTCCGAAAGAGCTGGGTGCCGGATCAGGGGGAGATGGAACGCATTAGCGACATGCAAAACCACCAAGATCATGTGCAATAGCAGCAAAGGAAACACCCATTTCTTGCTTACACGGTCACGTAGGGATTGCAGGACGGCCACAACCTACTGGCATCCCACGCAAGCAGAATGGGCATTAGTAACAGTGACGAATGTAGGAAGTGCAGGGAGGAAGGCATGAGTGAGACGTTAGAACACCTCCTCTGTTTCTGTCCGGCCTTAGCTAGAAATCGTCTTAGTTATCTCGGAGCTTCGCAGTTTAAAGGACTAGAGGAGGTTTCAAAACTGGATATTAAGGCACTCTTGAACTTCGCAAAAAGCGTTGACGTCCTATACGACGACTACTTTAGACCGCAGTAAAACGGACCTCCATCTGGCACTACAAAGGACCAACGGGTCTATGTAAGGCGCAACAGCCGGCCAGTGTAACCTAACCTAAACCCTGGTGCGAAATAAAGTCAATTGACATTATTACCTTTTTAA